ATCTCAAGTTCATGTTTTGCATCAACTCCACAGCATCGTATCTGCACGACATCCATGGATGAGTCTCATCACCATGAGCGTCCCATCATGGTGTTTCGCCTTTCATTGTGTCCTAAACCATTTGACTTATATAGAGGGGAGTAACAGGACACAAAGCTGCACGGTACTGCTCCCTGGGGAATGGGTGCCAACCTGGCCTGCCCATCCCCTCCCCAACCCACAACCACCCCCCGACTGAGGGCCTCGTTCGACACTCCTTGCGGCGTCCTCGGGGCCGAAGAAAGTTTCCTTGGGTGTTTTCAAGGAAATTCCCGCCATCGTTCCACCTGTCCTCGCGGGCGACGTCCCCGAGGACAGGTGGAACGATGGCGGGAATTTCCTTGAAAACACCCAAGGAAACTTCCTTCGGCCCCGAGGACGCCCCAAGGAGTACATTTCCTTCGAACCATGTCAGACAAGAAAAAAGAAAAGAAAAAAAAAAATCAAATGTGTTTGAGGCCTTCAGCCAATAGGGTGCCACCACGATCCAGATTCTCGGTTGTAACATCTCTCTACCCATGTGCCCGCTCCTCTCCGTGAAACGCGGATTCCTTTTGCCCAAGGGACCTCATGAGATCCCTTGGGCAAAAGGAAGAAATGGCTGGGGAATCCTCGGAGCCCAAGGAGTTTCCTTCGGAGTGTTTTCACTTTTTTTTTGCCGACGGCGTCCCCGAGGATAGGTGGAACGAACAATTCCTTGGGGCCTTTATGCACCCGAGGAGTGTCGAACGAGCCCCTGAGCTGCCTTTTTACTCCACAGCAGAGTGCTACGCAGTGGGCCATGGGGGATGACCACCTGCCCTATCCATCCCTCCCTTCCCCCCCACCTTAACTGCCCGCGGACCGAGCTGCCTGTTTGCCACGCTCCATGGCCCTCAAGCCATTCTTCCAAAGTTTCCCTGAAGAGAACAGAAGACACAAATGGCAGATGCCTTGAGCCATACGCGCCGTCCTAGGCCTTCCCTGCATGCCTTTGGACTCTACCAGCAACCACATTCATGGCTGGAAACAGCTGCTGTGGGGAGCAGCTCAAGGTACCAGCGACAAGTTAGGAGCGTAGGAGGGGCTGGCACGGATAGTGAGACCTCGCCTCTAGACAGTCCTCAACAAATGCATCCACCAGGTACTAGACGAACGAAAAAAAAAAAAAAAAAGAAGCCAACCACACAAGCAAAGCCTAAAGTCCAACCAGATTTTTGCCAGGCCTGCTGTCTACAATATGGAACATGCCACCCGGATGGCTGCATCCACTCGGTATAACAGTTAAAAGAAAAAAAAGAAGAGAGAGAGAAACTAAAGCAGGGAAACCTCACAATAACCCGAAGAACCAGTACTAACTGGAAGCATCATCAGGCGGCAACCCCAAACTGAGACACAGCTCTGTGGCTGCAACCTGGGACCTGGGTCTACGCTAAGTGCCCCCTACATCTAGCCTCATTTTTCTCGTGAGTATTGCAAATTGTTGTTTCCCCCACCCGTAAAACAAGAAAGTAAAAGATCGATGGGAAATTTGTCTGGCGCCCCTGTAATTTCATTATTTCGCGTCACGCCCCTCCGACGGCCCACTTACCCTGTGGTGCCCCTGGGCCCTCTGAACTTTCCTGCATGCCCCTGTCAGCGAGGGGCGCAAGTTTCCTTACTGGACGGCCAGTCTCATTTCACGGGTCCCTGTGCGATATGCCCTCATGAGCCACATACATCTTTCCATCATGCCCTCGTGCCAGAAACTCGGATATGAAGCACGTGGTCACTGCCGCAAAAAATGTATGTGTGTGTGAGTGTGTGTGTGTGTGTGTGTGTGTGTGTGTGTGTGTGTGTGTGTGTG